ACTGGAACTGTGGGGACACAGACACTGGTGCTGGCAGGTGCTATTTTATTAGCCTCAAGACTTGTCCCTGCTCCACCTACCACCCTGTAGACACCCATACTGGGATGCCTCAGACCAAGCAACTAGCCGAGCAGGAACACAACTATTCCAAAAAATTGCGGAGGAAGGAACACTTCCAAACTCATTTTCTGAGGTCAAGGTTAACCTGCTACCAAAACCAGACAAAGATATGACACAAAAAAAGGAAAATTACAGGCCAATATCACTAATGAACATAGATACAAAAAGTGCAGATACTAACTTATTTAAAATAAAGTTCATAGCATATAGCACAGGGAACTATATTCAATATCCTATAGTAACTTACAGTGAAAAAGACTATGAAAATGAATATACATATGGTCATGTATGACTGAAGCATTGTGCTGTACACCAGAAATTGACACAACATTGTAAACTGACTATACTTCAATAAAAATACGTATACAAAAAAAAGAAAAATTGAAAACACAGTGAAATAGCAGTAGATACCTAGTAGAATAGCTGAAATAAAAAGGCTGTTGGCAAGAATGCAGAGCTCCTTGAACTCTTCACACGTTGCTAGTGAGAATATAAACTGCTCCAACTACCTTGGAAAAATATTTGGCAGTACTTACTAAAACTAAGTACACATATACTTATGATGACTCAGCAATTCCAATCCTAAGTGTATTTCCAAGAGCAATGAGTTTATATATATACCAAAAGGCATATACAAGAATGTTCATTAACAGCTTTCTTCATAATAGCTTCCAAACTAGCAAACACCCCAAGTGTACATCTATAGTAGAATTGATAAGAAGTTGTTACATTCAATACAATGCAATTCTACACAGCAATAAAAAAATTGGACTGCTTCTACCCAAAGAAATACAGATAAATCTCACAGACAAAATGATGAGCAAAAGAAACCAGATATAAAAGAGTACATTTTACCTGCTTCCATTGAAATGAAGTGCGAGAACCAGCAAAATTAATCTGGAACCTTCTAAGTGCTGGAAATGTTTTATATCTTGATTTGTGTGGTGGTTACCTAGGTGTATAAATATGTAAAAATTCATTGAACTCTACACTGAAAATTTGTGTGCTTCACTATACGTAAAAGTATAACAATATAAAATTAAATTAAAAGACATGTACAAAAATCTTTATAGAAGAATTTTTCATAGTTTTTCCAAATCAGAAACAACCCAAAAGTCCATCAGTAGTAGAACAAACAAATAAATTGTGGTATACTCATACTGTAGAGTATTACATAAAAAATGGGGGGAAAAAAACAAACTCCTGATACACACAAAAACTTGAATGAATCTCAAAGGCATAACGTTGAGCAAAAGAAGCCAGACTTTAATATATGATTCAGCAATTCCGCTCCCAGATAAATATCCAAGAGGATTGAAATCAGGGGCTCAAATACTTGTAAATCAATGTTCATAGCAGCCAGAAAAGTGGAAACAGCCCAAATGTCCATCAATGGATGAATGGACTAACACAATGTGATGTATCCATCCAATGAAATCTTATTCAGCCATAAAAAGAATGAAGTAGTGATACCTGCTTTAACATGGATGAACCCTGAAGACATTCTGTTCAATGAAAGAAACCAGACACAAAATGACAAATGATATATATCATTTATATCTAGGTATCGAGAATAGGCAAATTCGTAGAGACAGAAAGTAGAATAGAAATTAATAGGGCAGGAGGAAGGGGGAATAGAGACTTATTATTTAATGGCTACAGAAGTTTGGCTTTTTTTTAGTAGAGGCACTGGGGATTGAGCCCAGGACTTCTTGCTTGCGAAGCATGCACTCTACCACTAAGCTATACCCACCTCCCACAGATTTTATATTTGTGATGTTGAAGTTCTGGATGAATAGTGGTGATGATTGCACAACATTGTGAATGTACTTAATGCCACTAGATTGCACACTTAAAATAGTTGAAATGGTAAATTTTATGTTATGTATATTTTATCACTATTTTTAAAAAGAAGCTGGATATAAAAATATATACTGCATTCTTCCATTTTATGAAGTTCCAGAACAGGTAAAATTAATGTATGGTGCTAGAGATCAGGATAGTGGTTGCCTTTGGATAGTGTATTGACTAGAAGGATGCAAAAGGGAGCTTTCTGGAGGGTCAGAGTGGTAATTACACAGACGTACACCTATGTAAAAAATTGTCAAACTTTCGCTTTTCAGTAAATACATTATATTTCCATTTAAAAAGAAAAAAAAAGAGTAGAAACTGGGGGAAACTGCTGTTAAAAGTTGCTTGTATTTCTTTATCCCTTGACTGTGGAGATGTGTTTATGAGGCTTCTTGACTTTGGGAGTGGAGAGAGGCAGGATAAGGGAAGGAAGACAGGAGGTGTGCAGGCAGGAATGACAGTCACAGCATGCAGACAAGACAAGTGGCTAAAGTGGAAAAAATGCCAATAGTTTTTTTTTTTTCCTCTCTCCCATCACCTCTCCGAACCCTGCACCCAGTCTGGAGCATTGCAACACAGCATCCTTAGTTTGAACACTTGCAATCTTACCCAAAGCAAAGCTCCTTGGGCGAGGGCAGAGAGGGAGAACAAGGAAGACAAGGGGAGGGGGTGGTGACTGTAAAGCAGTTTGTGAGCACATGAGTAAGCATCCTTGTCGCGTGTCCAGGAATACTTGGCAGAAATGTTGCACAGGGAATCAGCAGTCACTCTGCTGGGGCTTGAACCACTGTAATTTGGGCATCAACACTTAAGATGACCTCCGTTTATACTCACAGTCGGGTTAAAGCGGGATAGAACCACTACATACGCATAACTCTGTGAGTCTGTGTATATGTGCATGTTTTAAGTGTATACGTTTTCTTATCCAAATTGATATGCTGCCATATATTAATTTGAATCTACTTTTTAAAAAGTTTTTCTTAATTTTGGAGGTTTGGGGGGAGGGGGGGTAATTAGGGTTTTATTTATTTACTTATTTTTTGGCAGAGGTACTAGGGATTGAACCCAGGACCTTGTGCATACTAAGCATGTGCTCTACCACTGAGCCATACCCTCCCCCTGAACCACTTTTATTTTTATGTAGCAGTATAGTTGGGGCATTTCCACCTGTCCTCTTGCTTCCCACTCTTGTGCTTCCCCCTACTGATCATGGGCTCTGTTTCTTAATCCTAGGAGCCTCTGGAGTTGTGACATTACAGGGGCCCGGCTTCACTCCTTCCATGGGGGTAAAAGAAGATCTGTTTTCGGAAACTGTGGCAGGCAGGGTCCAGAATTCCAAGAGCAGGCAGGTCAGGTCATCCACTGTCACCGCACTAGTGAGAACACGCCAGCCACACCCAGGGAGCCCTCCTCTGCCCCTACCCCACCCTGACCTGGCCAGTTTACTAAGCAACACAGCTGAGGAGAGAGGGGTCATGTGATATGCCCTGGGGTATAGCAGGGAGGGTACTTGCATCCAAGTCTCTTGATCCCTCAAGGTGAATGCTTTTCTACTACCCCCCAACTCTCCCACAGGTAAGTCTGGCAGAGGAAGCAAATTTATCCACAGATCACACACCAAAGCCACAAAAACACTTTTATTTAATTGCTATCACAAATACAGTATTGAATTAAGGCAGTATAATACATTTCCACTTACCCTGACAAGCTTTTGTACAGTAAACTTTGCTTTAACTGTCAATTTGAATCAATAATTGAAATTTTTATTAAACAACGTTTTCTTGAATTCTAGAGAAAAATAATTTTCTGGGCTGCCAAGTGTGCTGATACAAGACATCTACAACAGAATACTGTTGATTGTGGAACCTCAGCCAAGTGTAGTGGGCTTGGCTGGTGCTGACAAGCCCTCCTCCCCCCTCCCTCCCCAGCTAGGAGGCTCCGAGGGACAGAGTAGGAGAGAAAGGCTTTTGGAGAAGCATTCCACTTTACAAGTCCACGGCAGTACTCCATTCCCTCTTGGCTACCAGTTTTTACTTCAAATTCCCTCTTGAATGAAAAAGAAAAATGCAAAAACTGATTGTGTAAAAACATCAGGCTGTGTAAAAAAAAATCTGAGGTAAAGAGTAGTTGTGAATTATAATATTAAAAGCATGACTGATTAATCATAGCAATCATAAATTTGGGTTTGGGAAGAAACTAGTTTATGGATGGATGTGTTTTTCTGGAACTAAATGAAAGAAAATCCTGGCAAATACTAGAAAAAAAGTAAGTAACTACAAAGAAGGTAAAAACATCTCATCATTTGCATTCCTGTTTAACTATAAAAATCAGTACCGATGTTTGACTTTTCACAAAATAGAAACAATTCAGTGCGGTGCGGCCATATCTTTCCTTTTGCCATTTGATCTCATAGGCATAACTATTTATTTTATTAAGAGCTTATCAAGTTGTGTTCTTCAGATATGGGTCATACTTTGTTTCTGGAATTTAGAAAAGAAACTGTTTCAAGTACTTGTACTTCATCGCAATTGCCTTTCGGACTGCCATAAAAGTACAATGAAGAGTTAGACACGCGTAAAGCTCTGCGGGCACATTCACAGAAGGCACACCTTTACCATTGCGCATGCGCTCCTCCCCCACCCCGCGAGGGATGGGAGAAGAAAGCAGAAACAAGGAGGAAATGAGGAGAGGCAAGAGAGGGCAACAGGGAAGTGGGAAAAAAAATCAAAGTCTGCAAGTTCAAGGATCACTGTGGGCTCACAGTCAACCACAGGAGGAAAGGGAGGCTCAGAACAACAGAAGTCAAACTTCAGGGAAGTTTTGTGTCTAAAATAGCAAGCACGCACACACTCACACATTTTCAGATTTCATTATGTAAAGGAGTATGCCTGAAAGGTGCGTGTAGCTCACACAGTGTCTGCGAGTCAGTGTCTGCATGTGTCTGTCTGTGTGTAGATGCACTATGGGGTCTCCCTTTGCATTACATATGCTAGACAAACCCACTGCTTGCCTACCCCTAAGAGCATTTTTCACACGGCCATGTCATCAGAATCAGCTTCAACATCAATAACTACAACCTCATGGTAATCATTGGTGGCAGTGGTGACCACAGTGGAGTCAAGGGGGGCAGCAGCAGTGGCAGGCTCCAACAGGCTGGCAGCAGGCTCAGAGGACTCACTGGCAGGGCTGGAAGCAGGCTCAGAGAGGTCAGTGACATCACACTCTAGGTGGCCAGCAGCAGTGGTCTCAGGGTGGCAGGAGGCAGTGAGCTCAGGATGGTCAGCAGCGGTGGGCTCAGGCTGACCAGCGATGACAGGCTCAGGGTGGCTGGTGGCAACAGGCTCAAGAGAGTCAGCAGTGGCAGGCTCAGGGTGGGTGGTACCAGGCTTGGTGTGACCAGTGGTGGGTTTAGGGTGGCTGATGGCAGGGCTGAAGGCAGCTTTGGAATGGCTGCCAGTGACAGGCTTAGGGTGGCTGGAGGAAGGCTTGAAATGGACAGAATCAGCCTTGAAATGGACAGAGGCAGGCTTAAAATGGACAGAGTCAGCCTTGAAATGGACAGAGGCAGGTTTAGGGTAGACAGTGGCAGACTTGGGGTGACCAGAGGCAGACTTGGAATGGCCAGAAGCAGGCTTGGAGTGGCTAAAGACAGACTTGTGGTGACCAGAGGCAGATTTGCGGTGGGCAGAGGCAGACCTGGAGTGGCCAGAGGCCAGCTTGGGGTGGCCAGACGCTAGCTTGGGGTGGTCAGAGGCACGTTCAGGTTGGCCAGCTGCAGCATCACCAGGTAGTGGAACATTCCGGACGTTCATTGGCACTTCCTCCACAGCAGGACTGGCACGGGCATGGTCTTGTTCGCGGGCTTGGTCGCGGGCTTGGTCACGGGCACGGGCACGGGCACGAGCGAGGGCACGGGCCTCCCGCATCTCACGAACGTCAGTGATGAGGCTGGAGAGGAACAGGATAGGATGCCGCATAGCATGGAAGATGGTCCAGTATTCTCTTCGGAAATTCTCATTGAGGAGCCCGTAGATCACAGCGTTGAGGCAGCTGTTGAAGTAGGCTATGAAGTAGGCTGCAAGATAAAGCCAGTTGGGGATCTTGCCTGCCATCTCCTTTGGACTGACAGCCACCAAGACAGTGAGCACGTTAATAGGGCACCAGCACACTGCAAAGAGGAGGAAGATCACAAACATGGTTAGAAAATTGCGAACCTCAGCAAGCTGGTTGTTGGGATTTTGCCCAGCCGGGTCACGGGCTGCCAGCACTTTGGTCCAGATCCTCACGTAGCAGAAACCCACGATGAGCAGAGGGAGGACAAAGTGGATGCAGACGATGGTCACAGCAAAGATGGGGTTGTTCACATAGTTGAAGATGCAGGTGTAGGTGCGAGGATCATACTCTATGGTACCAATGTACATGTTGGGCAGGACAGCCAGGAGGGTCATGATCCAGGTGACGACCAGGTAAACGCAGGTATTGCGCACACTGAAGATCCGCTCGTACTGGAGGCTGTGACAAATGTAGCAATAACGGTTGATGGCGATTGCCACAATATTGAAGATAGAACCGACCACACTCAGCCCTGTGATGAATCCAACCATCTGGCACTGTAACTGACTCAGATCCCAGCCCCCAATAGCCATGGCATGCAGCATCAGAGGATAGGGGTAGATGGCCACCAGCATGTCGGCCACGGAGAGGCTAACCACGAAGATGTTGCCTGAAAAACATATCAAAGAGGGGGAGGGGGAAAGACAGAGAAGAATAAATAGTTATGTTTGGAAATTTACAAATTTAAGCTGGAGGAAAAGGCCAGCTGGAGTTGTGACTATTTGGAATTCTAGAATTCTTTTAAAGAAATACAGTTGTGTTTTGATTTTTATTTACAAGCATGTCCTAAGTGATTCTGATGCACAAGCAGCTTTGGGGGACCTGTACTTTGACCACCGTTTTTTCCTTTCAAACAATGTCATCTCTGCGTTGGGAAAGAAGTGAAGTGATGTCAGAAAGCAGCAAGCACAAAAACCTGCTGAGGAGCCCTTCACAGGGACCGACGACGTGTGTGCGGCCACCATTTTAAACAAAAACAAAATGCAAACTTTTTCGGGGTGGGGGGGTAGAGGCGAGCTAGATGAAGCTGTCGGTAGGAAACAGTCTGGAAGGTAGGGACTGCAGTAAGGGGGCAGATCTGAGGAAAGTCAGGAAAACTCCATCTTCCCCTGCCCCGAAAACAAAATAATAAATTAGTCCTCTGCCCTCTCTCACTTACCATTGCATTTATACGCAAACATGTCTAAAGAGAAATGCCCGAGCAAGGGCACTAGAGGCCATAGTTTTGTTAAATGGGGTTTCCCCGTGGGGTCATACAATAATCTAAGACCTAACCAAGTAAATACTTACCATTTCCGAGGTAACCTAAGAGTAAAAACTGAGGGGGAGGGGAGAGGGAACCCTGTAAAACTGAGTCTTAGAAATAGTGAGGAAGGAGGGGAAAAAATCAGGAAAACCTCTGCAAGGATTGACGTAAGTGCCTGCTTCATGCGGGTCCCCACGCAGAGCCGCGCATCGGCATGTTCACAGCCTTGCCATGGGCTCCCGGCCCCCGGCCCAGGGCTTTACTGGAGCCTGCGGGCTAAACAAGAAAGTGCAGGGGGCGGGCTGCCCCCACTCCTATGTTGTAGGGCGGCGGTAGGATCGTTTTTTATAAACTTGTAAGGCCGAGTGCAGGCGCAGAGCCCTCTTTCTCTGGAAACACCTCGTTGCTAATTAGCATTGGTTTGGCAAAATATTACATGTCATCTTGGCCTGGGAGAAAACGAGCACTTTTAAAAACGGAAAAGGAATGGCTCCTTCTACCTCCATCCAGAGCGTTGCCAAGTCGCGGCCTCAGCTCTTTCTACCCAAGAGGTTCTTTCTAGGGTTTTCCCTCAAAGTAATGCAGTCGGAGTAGAAAAGCGGGAAAGGGGGAGGGGGGGGCAAGGCCTTCAAAACAAAACCACAGCAACCATAAACACCTTTATTTGAATTATACAAGGAAAAGGAGAACTAGAAAAGGAAAGGAAAGGAAACGGGCTTTGCAGGTGCCCCTTCGGGTGGACTCCGGAGTCGGGCACCTTAGGACCACACTGCTGGAGAGAAGGCAAGGTCCAACTGTGCGGCCCCAGGTCTCCAGGGGACCGCGGAGATATCAGACACACCCATCAGTTTAAAAGAAAACTTTTGATGACTGCGCGTCCATCAGTGCATTTAGAAATTTGTGTGGTGTTTGTGATTTCTCGTCTGAGCAAAATAATCCTCCAGAGACTGGCTGCCTCCTCTCCCCCGCACCCCGCCCGCCGGGGTCCTGTGGGTGCCCGATCCCCTAAGACCCCGCCCCCTCTCTCTCCTCTGCCCTCTGGCCCCAGGCCACCGGGATTTTGGCGGCGGAGACC